GAGTTGTTTAGAGGTAAACTGTACGCCCAAAGAAGGCTCCTGTCTCAGCGGGACGGGTTGGGTGTTAAATAAAAGGCATCGTCAAGAAACAACCTAACGTCGTGTTGGGGGGTGGTTGGTGGTTCGGGAGCACTGAGGGGTTGCGGCGTTGGATGGTGCGTGTGTTTCGCTGTTGCTGTTGTTTTGTTGTCTTCGAATCAGTAAACGTCGGAGTCGGTATCCAGCTCAACTCTTTTCGTTTGTTGTGTGAATAGTCTATATGGGCTTTTTCCAAACTCTTTGAGGCACGTGGTAATATTCGGAGAAATGAGGTGTAGTCTAACACGTACGCGAGAGCCGCGCATAGACTTATCTGCCCTGTTGAGTGGTTATATGCGTGTCTGGATGATGGGAGGACCGATCGTTAGAGGAACTCTACACGTGGAGGATGCGTTTTCGACTCCCGACCACGTCGTCTTGATTCGTCGTAGGTGGATGCGGCAGATGCTGGAATACTCAAGCTGGTGTTGTTTTGCAGGATTAGAGCAGGCAGGGTAAAGCAAATTTCCGTCCACACCCCCGAGGGGGGATCGCCTAGGGGAGAGGGCGTCGTCAACCAACCGCGTGGGCGTGTGCAATCGAGTAGCGGAGGACGCCGTAAGTGTCCGCGGGCCCGTGCGTCTGATCGGATGTTCGACAGATCAAACCCAGTAGAAATTTGGCTTGGTTTCTTGTGGACATTTTTGCGGTTGAAGCTTGTGTGACGAATGTGTAGTGCATTAAATTTGTCTCCACGGGGCATGAAGTTTAGATTTTTAGTTCAAGCTGGAAGGTTGTGGTGTCGTTTCCACCCTAGATCTCGGGATGGCGGTGAAGGGACGGCGCGTGCGAACCCGGTTCGGGCAGGAAGGATTTTTTCCGTGTCAGCCGTGGTGGTTGTCGTCATGTGGCGCAGTTGTTGGTTTGATTGAAGTTTTGGGTACTTGACTAGGCATTGTTCACCTGCTCAGGAAACGACTACATGCTTCTAGTGGAAGAAATTGACATCAATGTGTGTGCGCTCAAGTGCGCTCATTTGTTTTTCCGGGTCCAAGCGTGCGTGAGTGTGAACCATAAAGTTTGTTTGTTCTTCGTTTGAAGTGATTTTCAAAACAAAGCACCTCTAGTTTGAACTTCACGCTCGAGGGCCAGCCTGTGCGGCGTACAGCTTCTTGGTGGTATATCTCCCTTCCTATGCTCTCCTCGAGCCTCTTTGAAGGAACAGACTCATCCTTTCGTATGCTTGTGCATCGGGGCATCGTGTCGGCGGCTGCCCTTTTGCCATATTGCTTTTGCTTGCTTTTGCGAGTCGGAAAAAAGAGGCGTCCCCGTCCCCCTCCAGTCTCTTCACAACAACTGCATACAACAGAACTCCCTAATTCCGCCGCACTTTCCACCTCTCGCCTGCAAGGTCTGTCACTCCTGCTGTGTCCTTGACTTTGGTGCCACTTTTCCCTGCCTGCAGCACTCCAGAGAGCGCTTCCAGCGGTGTGGGTGAGGAACTGATCAGGCTTGGACAGGTGAGGTGTCTTTTGGTCCTGCAAAGGTACCTCGGAAGCTCACAATATGCTGTTGTTTTCGCCAGCTCAGAGCAGACCTCTCCTTTTTTGAATGTTTTCTTGTGCTGACAACACCGACAGCAGTTTGCAGGTTTGGTTGCAGGTTTGTGTTGTTCTCTCCCAAGTGCACACACACTCTGCTCTACAGCGATGCGGTACACCCACACTGCGAAGTGTCGTATCTGCACGTGTGATAGTTGGAGTGCTGCAATTGCTATGTTAATTGCATGATGCCGTTGTTCTTGAACGCTCCTTTGTACTATTAATGTGAAGACAACAACAACAACAACTATGGCTGTCGTTTTACACAGCAGCAGTGTCACTGTTGCCGATGATGGTACCATGTGCTTGGGTGGCACCGTTCCATCGGATAGTCAGTGCTGTCGTAGCTGATTGAGGTCTGTGCAAGTCGCATGTCAGGAGAAGCCGCCTTTGTTTCGTATTCGTCATGTTGCGATGCATGGTATGTGCTCGGGTGGCACCGTTCCGTCCGGTAGCCAGCGCAGTACATAGTGTAGCTGATTGAGGTCCGCGTACGTCGAGTGTCAGGAGAACCCGCCCGTATTTCGCGTTCGTCGTATTTAGTGTCCAAGTTGCAGTCTGTGTCTATCGACAGGTACAATATGTGTTTGTGGTTCTAAAATCATACGCTTAGAGAGTTCCATGCAACGGGACAACCACAATAGGAGTTGCTTCCTGCTGAGTGCCCACTGTTGAAGGTCGCAGCGATCCATGGATAGCCTGCCCAGTACCTACGATATAACGAGGCGCCTTGTGGCCTATTTAGGTGTGTTGCAGTTGCTGCTGAGGCGAGGATCGGCCGCACACACGAGCCCTTTTTCATGTATGAAGTGAAGTTTGTGGCCTCTCCGAAAGATGTACCCTCCTAGTGCTGTCGCTGATGTTAGTTTTCTCGAATACGTGTCACTCGCAGTTCAGCAACACCAGGCTGATAGCGGAGGCGGAGGGGGAGGGAACAAGCGGAGGAGCGAGGTGAAGCGAGAACTGAAGACAAGCAGTAAGCATGAGATGGATGCACCCAAACCCTCGCAAGAGGTATGGCATGGAGATGGCCCGGTTCTTCATGTACGTCTCGGGTGAGCGCGCAGCAACCATTTGCGGGCAGTTTCGTCGAAGAGAATCGGTGTAAGCACCAGCTTGCGTTTGTAGTACGTTTCTTTCATGCGTTGCGGAGATGGGGTCATGTTTGTTACACCCTGCCTCATATGGCTGACGTTGAAGATTCCCGCATCGTCGAAGCCATCGAAGTGTGAATACAGGCGCGTGGATGCATAGAGTTTGCGCTGGCCAAAATGGCAGCTCTCATTGTTCCGAGTCGTGGACCGGCTTTGCTCTTTTTTGTCTGTCGTTTTTTTTAGATTCTTCGGGACACCTTCTTGCCGTAGAGCGAATGCCCCTCTCATCCATGTTCACGATGGCATCATGAGACTGACACTACTTGTGAAGATACCTCGAGTCTGCATAGGGTACACCTCACGATTCGTGAGATCAACATGCCCATGCCTGTTTTTGTCTAAAACCCTGACCCGGTCAAATGCCTTCCTCTCCCACCCGCTTTCCCTGCACCATCTTCTTGTTCCGTATGCGCCCTTGCGCATCCAGTGCCCGTGGTTGTGATCACGATTTGCAGCGACCCGAAGAACATGAATACGTTGCTGCGAGGGGTGAGTACCACATCCGTGGCGGTTCTGTGGGTTTGACACGATGCAGCGCGGGAACGCCTTACGGCGTGAAGCTGACCTGGGCTTTGTTTTCGTTGTCGTTTGCTTCGGTTCCCCCGGTTCTCCCCACACGCACCCTCCATCCCTGCTTTTGGAACTGCTGTGCCCCGCCCGATGAAAATGACGCCTACGTCTGTCTCGGCAGGCGGTGAGTGTGATTTTTTCCCCAAGAATATCTCCACTCCTTGGCGAACTCATCCCTCCTCCCTGCTGTCTTTCCCGCGAAAACACCCCCCCCCCACGCCCGCGCCACCAACATGCCGCCTCATCAACCGAAAGTTTAAGTTTGTTGAGTACCCGCCCGAGTCGAAGAAGCTCCCGTCAGGAAAGGAAATCGTTGAAATGATGGAGGAGAGGGAGGCCAAGAGGCGAACCGCAGCGACGAGGTCGGGAATGGATGCGCATCTCGCGGCTGCGGGAGCGGTGACCAGGGTAAGCGGGGTGCGGCAACCTACTGCAGGCAGTCGACTTGACATCCTCACGTACATGCACCAATAGCAAAGCCGTCAAACGCCAGAAGGATAGTCGGAGAGGGGCAGCAAGGGGATGCGAAACAACACCCTCTGTATGACCCCGAGGTCCTCTTGTGTGCCTAAAAGGCAAGGTATCAGTCGGTCCATTGCGATGTTTCATATTTCCTCTCATAAGCCTAATAAGTAAAACAACACTTCCTCTTCGCGGTGTTATCTTGGTCTTCACGGTATGATTACCTTTCCTTTCTCAGAAAAATTCACCTGTGCGCGCCCGTGGTATTCGTCCCGTTATTTTCCGCGTATCTCCTGGTTACACCCCACGGTTGCATAGGTAGTTGGAGCGTAGATGCCGGTGTCAAAAAAGTCGCGGAAGGTACCGCATGCGCTCTGAGACCTATCCGTTAACCGAGAGTAGCGAAACGACACGACCGCTGCTACTTCTCAAGTGAGGTGTGCGGACCACATTCTACAGACCCACGGCAACTCTTGTATACCCACCCGTTCCCGCCTCCGACGCGCGGCCCTCTCAACAGACCCCGACATCACGACGTACCGACACTACCCTCGACGCCACCGCTACCGTGCCTCCAACGCCCGATGCGTCGCGCGAAGTGGACCAATCTGCAGCCGGAACGGCGTCTAAGAAAAGGGGATGGTTTAGTTGGCGATGAAGAGGAAAGGATTGGCAAATTTCTTCGTATTTTTTGTGACGGTCTTGCGTTTATTGATGCTTCCTAGTTGCCGCAGTCGGCCGGTTGTATGCCAGGTCGCGTATGCATACATGCCCGTTTTTCGTGCCTCGCGTTTTGCACACAGCGCTCTCCAAGATTCGACGAGCGGCAACAACATGATGGCCGAAACCGATGTGCCGATCAACAGTAGAGATGCGGCCCAAAGGGCATTTTCTGCTTCTCGACAGTTTGAGCTGTTTCCTCGACGACACGGGGGGTGTTTCGGGTGTACAGCACTAAATGTGCGCTGCAGACTTTCCTGCCTCATGGCAGCGGTTCCAAAGTATCTGGTGTCATCAATGTAAGGCTGGAGCACTGGCCGGTGATCGTCCGGTGGGATGTTGTGTAGTTCTGGCCGAGGACGTGCTTCGGGTGCTCGTTGTGCTTTCTAACGTGTGCTAAAGATAGCCTCCAAGAAGGAGGCTCGGCGGGGTGGCATTTCCGTGGCATTGGGATGGGAAAGAGACGTCGTAACATGTGTGCATAGCTGTCTCGGCGTATGTTGTATTAGACGCCGTTTTCTTGTTGTCTTGTCTAACAAGACAGGCGATTAGTGACGTACATGAATGGTATCTGCGCTCCGTGTACTTACTGCCTGTAGTACAACCTAAGATATATTTTTGATGCATATGCTCTGACAATTTGTTCGGGTCTTTCGCGTCAGTTTGTTGGAAACGCTGCTCTCGAAGCGAGATGCGCACGCTCCTATCGCTGCGTATGGCTCTTCTCCGCCGCAAGAAATTGCTCGGTGAACCAGAGGTTCGATACCACTAGCTAAAAGCTGGAGGTTCATGAAACGCCGTGCCCCGCGATACGACTTTTAGCTGGGGCGCATCTTCTACCGGTACGTGCGTAGGCGGCCACTGTGTCGGTTTTCACAGCATGCGATCGCGTCTGGAAGTATGCAGATGTTTTCTCAATCTTTTCTTAGCGCACACCTCCGCCAGCAAGGGGTCCCACTGCTCAGGACGCATGCATTGAATTTCCCTGAAGAGCGCAGGGGGTGACCCTCGATGGATCCGGTTCCCGGGCTCCACCCGCGGCCCTGCCTCATAAAGGATCCCCTTCATTGCCTGGCCTCTTAGCACACCATGAGCATGGCGATTTGCTGCTGTTCGCCGAGGTATTCTTCGGGTTTTCCAACTCAAGTTTTTCGGTCCACTGGTCCGACAGCGCTTTGACGGTTGAAACGATTCACGAGGAGGAGCTCTCACGGCGCCGTTTCAGCTCGACACCGCCAGATCCACATGAACTGCCGTCCATCTCGACCTTTCTGTAGACCGTTCCGTGAACGATCTACAACCCTATCTCCTCAATCCCCAAAGCGTTCGAACGAGAAGAGTAAGCACGCAATAATACGCGAATGGCCTACTAGGGGATAATTGCTGTGTCTCCCTGTGCCACGAGAAACAAAAAGAACGAGATAAGCTTTACAGCGTTGACCTGGTAACAATGGAGAGAGGATGGCTATAGTCAAGCCCAGCAGTTAAACTGCGTTCGGGTTGTCGTCAAACGCGTGCTAGAATATGGTTTTGGTCGCAGGTTTGGGCGGGTCAGGGAAACAGAGGCGCAATTCCAACAGTTCAAGCTAACTCGGGCCTTCCTGGCCGTCTTACGCCTTCCTTCCGGAATTGTCTATTTTTCCCGGAACCAACGGTAAGCCTGAGAAATCAGCTCTGCTCAGCAATAAGCCCGTAGTCATAACCGGCGACGAGTTCCTTATTCACCCTCTGGGCCTCCAGCAGGCTGGCCCTGAGGGGTTTGCGACCACGTTCAGGTAAGGGCATGCAGTGGGCGATGAGTCCGTTAGTATTCTTGCGCTGTTATAGACGGCACGGCTTGCTGTACCCTTTTGGTTACGCCTTCACTGAACATAGTACGTTGGGGCTTTGTCTGCTACCAACCGTGAAGCAGCTTCCCGTTGAATTATTTGACGCGCGCAACGGGATGACGACGGACCACAGGAGGTGGATCCAGTTAGCATAACACAATAAATAATCACCCTTGGGAGTGTAAGTGTTACCGGCTGTGCTGTTCCCGATTGAATATCACGTGGGCCGTAGTAAGCTACCACCATGCGCCGATCGTAACAAACAGAGATAGCCATCAGTAGACCACGTCCGCCTACAGGCAAGACGTATACGGGTGGTGCGCTGTGAAGCACGTAGTCTACACGAGAGTGAACGCTCCCAGCTTGGCCCGCACGCAACGAGAAATGCCCGTGTGCTAGAACTTTCGGGTGGCATCAACTCAACACATCGCAGCTATGCTATTGGTTTTATTGGAGTAGTAGTAACGGCGTGGAACACGTCGGGTAGAAACCAGCGACAAGGTATGCCGCACGACAAGGTATGCCGTACGACAAGGCATGCCGTACGATAAGGTATGCTGCACACACCTGAGCTCGTCCCGTGCTGCGGCAGCCTCGTCCGACAACGGTGAGGCTCCCTACGTCAGCGTTGAATAACAGTCGGGGGGGGGGGAGTCGGGGGGAGGCTGGTTCGTGTTCGACAAGCTTCAATTCAGTTTTGGGAGGGTCAAGGCGAGACTAAGGCTGGGTTTCCTCTCCGACCGGGCATCACGTTCTTGTATTCCGGGCTTTCCGAGAGTCTCGGGCTATGGCATGGATGCCTGAAACTCCTTGGACTGCTAAAGAAAACCCGTTCAGTGGCTTCATGCCGTCTTATGGCCCTCTAGGGCAAGAGAAGAACCCGTTGAAGCCTTCCGTAAAACCACTACTAGTAGTACTTTGTATGGACATAGTCGTGCCGGAGTCTCGTCTCGCAATGTCGATGAGGTGCGTTTCCTCGTGCTTGATCTCTCCACCTCAATTCACGATAGGCGAGGTCGATCGAGTGCCGCCTATCTATACTCCTACCGAGTTCTCAGAGCTAAATTTCTCGGAGTTGGGTGGGGGTTGTCCTCACCTCCTCTGCGGCCTTCTCGAACCAGAGGAGAGCCATGTCGTAGTCCACGGGAAACCCTTGACCGTACAGGAACATTTTGCCCAAGTACATCATCGACGGGGCATGGCGTTGCTGCGCCCCCTGCGTGTGCAGGCGAACGGGCAGTTCGGATCGGTTGATCAGGGGTGGGTTCGAGGCTGACTGTAGATCAAATCAACGAGTCAACTCCTCCACCAAACGACCAACCCTTGCTGCACCACCAGTCGAGAAGTGCTACGTTGTCCAAGGATTCTACTGCAGCCTCTCGAAGGGGCAATACAATGTTCCGTATGCACCAAGAACCTTCTCGGAAGTTGTCCTGTGAACCTAGTCAGAATTGCGCTCCCTCGGGGAAGGGCGTTACCGAACTCGCGTGAGACGGTTCATAGGATGCTTCACCCTGAACAACAACGATGGCAGCTGGTCAGGGTCTGCGAGTGCCATAGGGGACCCATCCTACCCCTCCCCTGTTCTTCTTACGGCTAGAGTCGCTCATGCTTACCCAGAAACACGTTCTGCACGGCACTAAAGCCTACCGAAGTTGGGGGACTTCGGGTATGGGACACAGCACGAGGGTAACGACCGGCCTGGACACTAGAAGTACAGTGCAAAGAGAGCGAGGTACCTTCTGGAAGTGAATCGCGGCGCCGCTGAGGTCTTGAGCGAAGCCTCTCCCGTGGGCCTTCATCAGACCAAGGTGATAGTTGGACTCCGCCAGCCCCTGCGTGGCCGCGAGGGAGTACCAGCGAGCCGCCTCTCGCAGGTCCTTGGTCACTCCCGAACCGTACTCGTGCGCGATGCCTGTCGATGTTCGATGAGGTACAAATGCGCGCCATCAGTCGGTTTGTGCCAGTTGGTCGCCCACATGGACACGTGTCGCAGAGCCGGGTAGCTAAAAATCGAGTTTTTATTTTGGTGATTTTCAAAGCGTTTTTCCACAAGGGCTGTTACGAGGCTTCGAAACGGGGCACGTGGATGTCGGTCTCGAAGCATGCCGAGTACGACATGAGAAGTACGGACCCAAGAAGAAGGCTTATTTGAGGTGATGAGAACGAAACTACGGGCGACATGATGCTTGTTGGGACATGATGGTTCTGGAAAGAAGCGGGGGTGTTCCTGTTGCTGAGCTGGCGTGCAGTAGCCGAGCACGATATACCCTAGCCCAGAAACCTGTCCAGCGTGTACTCAGTCCACTGTGAGCGGTCTATCGTACTACTATGCCACCACGTGCTCGTCCAGAACGATGTTCATCCGCGATCTACGCCCCGCAGTGACCCCCAGGTTCTGCCTGGACTAGACAGAGCCCGAACGACCACGGAACGGTCGCCCGACAAACAATCACGTGTTCGAACAAACCGTGTATTGCAATCCTGGAGAACAGCACGCACTCCCGGTTGTCTCACCGAGGTGATGCTGCCCTCTGGCGTTACCCTTGGCTGCGGCACGGTGGAACCACTGCGCGTCACACCCCGGACGCGGTCGACCGGAACAACGCCAACAGATCGGAGTCGGAGAACGGTAGTTCACACCCAGCGCAAAAGGATGCAGAGTGAGATGGTGGCAAGGCAATGAGAGCGACCGCAGGATAAGATTGGGGATGGGAGCTTTAGTGTGATCTCGGGATCACCGTGGGCGACGTGCTCTGTTGGGAGTAGAAGGCGTGGTTACCCCAGAGCAAACTGGACATTTCAACCATACACCCGCCGATTTTGACTTCGCTCCCTCCGACGTATTTGTCGTGATGTAGGCTGTGAGGATAAAGGACAAAAAAATGGTCTTCAACGCAAAAGGGCGCTCCTCCGCGTCAGAGCAGGCCCCGCAGACTCGCTCGATATAAGCTGCAGTCGGCGTACGAATACGGATATTTCAACGGTGGATATGCCTTTTTCAGCACCACTGAAGTTGTCCAAACTCTTGGGAATCCAAAAACAACGGACAGGACGTAAAGCTTGCTCCAGGGAGAGAGAGAAACCGCATGTAAAGGGAAACGACAAGCTATTCCTTTAGGTGTTCAGTTCTTCAAGGCCAAATTGACGTGCTGGGCCCCTGGCGAAGGTGCACCCACATCTTGAAACCTACAGTACTCAGAGATTTACGTGGGCGCACCTTGTTGGCCTCGTCGAAATCGACTTTGGCGACTCCCTTGCCCTCGCAGTGCATCCTGGGGGAAAAACAGCGCCAAACACTGTGGGTGTCGCATTCGCTCTTTGTAGCACGCGAATCCAAGACACGTTTGGCGAATGAAATGCCAGGAATCTCTTGTTAAACGACGGTCCACCCTAATTCTACCCTTGCGTGATCATGGTGGATGAATACATCGCTTGCGGAAGTTTGTCCTACCGGTGGGTTGACGTGAGCTTACCAGAAGTTGTGATGCGTCCTACCTAGTTCTTTCCTTGTGGTTACGCTGTCTTCAGCTAGCTGTGGAAGTAAGTTTCGGCCACCACGGTCATGTGCGCTGTTGCAAGTTCCTCCCTACGTTGTATGGACGTTGGGCTATACCAAAGCCAACACTACCTTGTAGTCGTTAGCGTGGCCATCTGAAGATGTGAAACCGGCGACTGCAGCGCTTTGACTTGGACTTTTGGCGAGTCGAGGAATGCGCCTATGTACTACAAAGGTTGTTCCAGAACCGCACTTGGTGAACGCGTCCCCCGAGGCATCTGTGTTGACCCGCATGAACGTGAAGACCATTCATTGATCGTACTGTCTGTCTTTCGGCACCCCCATGTAGAAAATCGCAGCACATGACACTTGTTTTTTTTTCTGTATCATTGGCCTCCTTGCACTGCGTGCGGTTGTCGCACCTACCTTGCAATTCCTTGATCGACGTGAGGAAACAACGAAAATCAAACCCACCTCCCAAGCAGCCACATGGCTTCTACGTGACCTTCCATTGCCGCAAGCCTGAACCAAGCGGCCGCAGCGCCAAAATCCCGGCTACCACCTTGGAATAACCAGGTGAAAGAAGACCTTGATTGAGATCAATGCATGAGATAAACATCCCCAACGTGTCCCAGCATGTACGCAGGTCTGACCTTGTCGCGAGATCCGAATGGGGTCACACAAGGTTCTGGACAATAGACTACATAGCCCAGAACTTTGGAGCCTGGATAATCATGATTTCTGTTTTCTAGAGCCCGGCTTCCCGAAATCTCTCGAGTATAACGTGGGAGTTACTGCAGCAGGTGCCTGGGTTGGAAGTTGCGTGGTGCCAGCGGACGACAAGCAGCTTCTCTTCTTGATACACATGTGCTTCTCAAACAGGCGCATGTAGCATCACCTCTCCCGTGCAAAAGCATGACTCCCAGTGCCGCCATGGCCTCGTGATGCCTAAGTTCAGCAGCCTTTCTCATGTACTCTAGAGCTTTGTCGGCGTCTGGGGCCACCGAAATCCCGTAGAGCTTGAGCAGCCCTAAAAAGTACAAGGAATCTACCCGGCCAGGCGGGTAGACACGGCCAGCAGACACGCACGGGCAGGTAGATGGGGCGATGGGGGCTTGAGAAGTAGAAGAAATGCCCAAAGTTACTAATTCCTCGAGTCGTGTAGACTAAACGTGTGTTGTCATTGCGTTGACTCTAACTCACACTACTGTGTGAGGGCAGACCGTCAGCCGTGGTCATCGCTGGCGACTGGCTCGTTATACTTGCTCTAGTACGTCGTATATCTCAATACTGCTAAGCAGTAGACCTTGGGGCAGTGCCCATGACTTAGCCTGAACTCACGCTACGGAGCAAAAGGTGCATTATCTGTCCCATGTATGTACGTGGTACCTCGGTTTCCCTGATCTGCTGCCTGTATCACCGACTGCACCACAGATGTCGGCACCTCGTGCCCGCGAATGAGCCCCAGACCTTTCCCAAGGTCATAGTCAAGACCATCGGCAAGCGAGCTTGCTGAGGTCGATGCCACAGAAAATGACGACGAGGAGGAGGATAGTGGGGATCGACCCAATTCAGCGCTCTGTTCTCGGCAGGCAAAACAAGTTGCAGGGGACAGCGGGCGGCAGATCGCTGCATGTGACCCACCAGCGACGTGGCTACATGTACAACGGATGCTCGATACTACGGTATATCCCTCTGTGCCACAATTTGCATCAAATCATCGACAACGGGCGTGCTGCGGTGCGCTCGAAAATCTTCGTGCTCTTACAGCAGGCCCCGGCCAGCGATAAACCCTGTTGGATCCGCAAGTACGTGAAGACATGTAGGTCGCTGTCTACATACATGTAGACCTGCACGACCAGAAGAGGATCCAATAACATACCGTTGTTTGAGCCCCAGGTTCATTGCTGGCGGCCTCGCAGTCGAGTGTCCCGAGGAAGCTGAGAATCAGCACTGTTGACACGAGCGCACAGAGACGGCGCGCGGCTCTCGCGTGCATGGTCTCGACGTCTTTGGATCAAATGTCGGTGGTTCGAATCCGCGGATCCGCACTTTTTTTTTTTTAAGGGGTTTCACGAAGAGCTGAGAAGCCGCACGCGCGCGGCACCAGCGCGCAGAGTTGGCCATTGTAGCGGCGGCGAGGCAACCACAGCTACGAGAACAACGCACAACGCACCCCCCTTACCGACTACACCAGTCAGAGGGGGAACCACACTCGTCATGGAGGTAGGTCATTTGAAAGAGTAATGGAGAGTCTCGTGGCATGCCCTTGTAATGGCGAAGAATGTGTAGCCGGTTTTTCCTCTCTCTCTGTGCGTACTGCTGTAGACGTGCTATCCAAAACTCTCCGGCCGTCCTGCCTCTCTGTCGGGGAAAGAGCGGCGACGGTAGTCCTGCCGGTGCTGCTGTTTACCAGGCAGACATTGCGGCAAGGCGCGTGCGTGCCCTAGAGACGAACATCGCTAGGAGGTACCTTCGCAGGACCACCACGGTACCCGCGGGTAGTCTATGCGTTTTGTTCCAAACAGGAGGAGTGTAGTTGCACTTTGCGTGGTTTTTTCGTCCCGTGGTTGACTGAAAAGTGGCACCGCACCCGTTGCCTACAATCGCTCGGCTAACACACGCATTGGGCGCTGGTGAACGGCCTCCTGCTCCGTTGATAGAACCGAGACCCCTCGAGATCACTAACACAACATTTGTTAGCGGAGGTTGGGTAGGCCTGTTTGAGCTCTCTCTTACACTCAGTGAGGTGACGCACACATGGCACTCATCATCTTCCGATCCGGCAAATTGCTGCTGTGCATGGACGGTTTGCCCGTTTGCACCCCCGACTTGTTGTGTGCATGATGGCCGTCGACTTCCGTGTATTGTGCAACACTTGAACACACACGCGCGCTACGTACGCATGAGGGTAGCCGATGGGCAGCGCGGAGTTGTTCCCGTTGCTTCGGCCCTGCGCGTATTTTCCCGCATAACGCATGTACACCGCAAAATTGCACTACTGTTCAAAATGAAGCCATGCATGATCGGCAGAGACGCCGAAATTCTTGGGTACTTTTTCAGCAATCGGACCTTTTCAGCTGCGTAGAGGGCCGGCACCCGTCTGAGGCTGGCAGGATCTACGAGCAGCGGTTGCGAGTAGCAAAGGCCATACCAAATAACATGAGAGGAAATTAGGATTTGGGGTGAGATGGCGGCTCGCCTTGCCCGATCGACGGATAAGCTGCGCCGCATATTCAAATGCCGAATGATGGCCTTCAAGAAGAAAAATCGTGTGGTCAGCATGTTATTCTTCATGTGTTTGCGATGAACGTGAGCAGCCTCCCGTACGCGCCTCTCCTTAACGAGGTAGGCGTTCCTTAACGGTGTAGGTGTTATCGTTACCTCGCAATTATTCATTGCGCTAAAAAAACGTGCTGCTCCACCTCAAACCTCACCACTCCAACTACTGCTGTTCTGTGTATCCGTTGTTCCACACTTCCACTCACTCACACCCGGTACCAAGACAGGTCTCCGTGGGCCTGAACGTGTGCACCATCTAGACACATCTCAATCAACTCTGCGCCATCTCCAAACTCTCCGAGATCAAAGTGCTTGGGCCTTTTTTGGTAGACACTTAGGGAACGCGTTCTCCCCCCCCCAGCGTCATCCTTGTGAAACGCATATGCATAGTTGTAGCCTGGGCCGGCGAAAACCCGACATATAGCTCCGTCCTCCGTCCTGGTATTTTAGTGACATGAGTACCCCCACCCCCACCCCTACCCCATTTCCGTGTTGTGTATCCCCCCGACGGACCGCCGCCCTCCCCCCTCTCTCTCGCCTTTCCAGAAATTCAGTAAATGGGCCGATCGGTCTTCGGGGGTGAACCCGTTCGTTCCCTTCCCGCCCCGGTCTCCCAAGTCTCTCTGCCTCCTGGTTCCGGTGTACCTCCTGCGGCTGTGCCTGGCCCTCGTCCGCATGCCGGTGGCGCTGTCCCTTCTCATGACGGCTTCCGTCGGAGGCGCTCTGTCCAGGTGAGCCCGTTGTTGAGCCCCTTTGTGCGGGGTTAAGACTCTAAAACACCACTGCTGTAGAGCAGCCACTGTGCTGCAGCGTAAAAGAACGTACGTAGGCGACGGCACGTTCCATTGGCCAAGAAGGTGTGGCTCCAACGACCGGCGCTTCACGATGGACTTGACTCACTGCTGCTTTGTGGTGTGGCCCACGTTGGCGGCGGCTCAACTCGGCAATCGATTGAAAATAGCTCACCCTTTGATTTGTGTGAGAGAAGGGGGGGGCTGCGTTGAGCATGGTCACACAATCTTCGATCTTCGTGAGAGGGGGGGTTGGAAGGGAGGGAGGGAGAGAGAGAGAGAAAGAGGGAAGGGATCTTTGCTCGATGCGCTTCGGAAATGCGGTCCCTTTCCGGGGGGGGTTGGGCTGGTCTATGGTCTAGGTTCAACTGCTGTCGCTTCCCGATCAGGAACTTGTGTCTGTATCACCATGCACTGATGCTGTTGGAAGTGTCGATGCATACGAAGTACGCTGCCGTGGGCAGTGTATCGAGGCGATGTAGGAACTTCGCTGTTACGTTATACCTTCGTGGATACTGCGCTAGACAGTAGTAGATCGCACCGACATATCGCCCTGCGCCCACCCACGCTGCACGAATGACGTGCTGGTGTAGTTGCTTGATGCACTGCTGCTGCTGCTACTGCTGCATCTAAAGTCTGCACTGCCTACTGCGTCATCCCCTGTGTGTTTGCCACAGATACTTGCCGGTGTTGATGGCGTTTTGGGCGGCGGAGCGAGCGATGAACGGGTTTTCGTCCGACCAGGTCTGGAGCACGAGGTTTCTCCTGGCGATCCCGCTGCTGGTGAGCACATGCACGTGTGTACAGTACGCATACGGAGAACCAGCATGCCGTTAGATTCCGCTGCTGCTGCTGCTGCTGCTGCTGCTGCTGCTTGATTGCATGTGAAGAATCAGCAAGTCCTTGATTCTGCTGCTGCTGCCGTGAACAAGAGGCCGATGAACCGTTCGCCCAACCCGAGAGTGGTCGCAACGCCATCACCAGGGCTGTGCTGTTGTCCGTTCTGTGTGGCGGGCTTGTTGCTGCTGGGCGATGCCTGGGACAGGCACGACCGCCGGATTCCTCTTTGTGCCAACCAAGCGACTTACATCGCACCAACGTTGATTCACAGCAGTTTGAAAACCGACGTCAACCATCCTTGAAAAAAAAAAAACTGCCTTGTACAGGTGTTTGCTCAGTTCGGAGCATCCGTGTTCCGGGTGTTCCTGGTGCGGATCCCCCTCCGGCTAGCGCTGTCCGTGATGGGCATCAAGCTGGAGGAAAAACACGCCGACCTCAGGCGCCTCGGATTACGGTGGGCATTTCTGAGCAGGACGTGTTCGTAGATAGCTCGGCGTTCGGGCCTGCGCCTGCCGCTACTGCGTGTTGACAGGATGAGGATTTGGACATCGGCCGTGGTGTGTGTTGTTCTGTGAGGTCGTGATGTGTGATTAGCGGTGGAAGAAGCACGGCTCGGTTTTGCTGGCAAGGCGGTGCTGATTATTTTTCCAAAAGCAACTCGCAGTCGCAAGAAAAGCGCGCTTGTGGTTGTGGTGATGTGGTGGCGGCCAGCGTTCCGATGAGTGCGGACAGCCCCAGGATGTGTTTCGTGCAGCGCAGCAGTCAAGCACAGCAGCGGTGGCATGTAGCAAGCAGCGCCCTGCACGTCTCGTCTCGGCAGAACAGTCTTCGTTTCACACGATAGCCCACAAAAACGAGCCGCGGTGAACGAGCTCTTGGCCAGCCGCCCCGTCTTGGTAGAGTAGCTAACGCATGGTCTCGTGGTGTTTTCTGTGTGCTCTTATGCATACCGTGTACTTTTCTTCTTTTTTTTGCTCGTCTTTTTGAAATCGAAAGGTCGCCGGCAGCGGAGCCGCCTTCTGGTCGGCCCGGAGGGGGCATCTACCGGGGCGATATCATCGTTAGAAACAGCTGCTGCTTTCTCGAGGTGCGTGCAAAAAAGTGTGCTTCTGTGTTTGTTTGGCATTGGTACTGAAGGGAAAGTGCGGCTCCCCGAGACTCACTTACCTACCTGCTGGGCGGGTTCTGGGATGATATCAACGCACCGCCCTGTCGCTCGTCGTTCTTCCTCAATCCGCTCCCGCATTTAGGCACAAGGCAGTTAGAGAACATGAGGTTCACAATTTCGAAACGTCAATAAATTGAATCCGACCCTAAACTAACTAACACCACCAACAGAGGAACCAAACAAGCCCAGGGTTGCGAAAGTTATCGTTTGGCGGGTGCGGGCGCTTGCTACTGTATGAAACGTGTCTATTTCGCCCCCTCGTGATAAAACGCCTCCCAAGGTGCTGTACCTCCAGTCTCGGGTCACCCCGCAGTTCACGGCCATCGCCGCGGGAGGGGGATCAGCACCGGTAAGAGAAAAACCGTTACTGCGAGGGTACTCACTCTTCTGTAGCAGGCTGTTTTGTCATGTGCCATGCATCGTTGTTGTCGGGATGTCGCCCTTCGCGATGTTCTCGCCCCATCGATCGGCATGCCGTTGTAGCGTCCTGATGGACTTGTGTATGGTCTACATTACCCGTTTTTTGCAATATAATGTACACCTGCTGTTTCTCCCGTTCGTCCGCACTGAATCCCTCCCCCCCCCCCCTTGTTAGCGAGGTCAATGGTCAAAGGATTACGGCATGCAGGACTATGAGTACCCCCCCCCCCCCCCTTGTTAGCTCTCGGTTCTCCTCGCCTTTTTCTTGGGCACGTCAATCCTGTTGGACACATACCCTGCACCTCCATCGTTCGTGGTGACATACGTCCCCCCCAAGTGTTTCCTCCTGTTGTGATGGGACTGCTGTGTGCTGCTGTTCGTTCAGGTGAATTTGACTAGAATCCGGTTTGTCTCTGCGGTGCTGGGCTCGTTCCGGGGGCCTCCTGCAGCCGGCGCCCTCAAGAAGGTACACAGCAAGGGGCACCGCGTGCATTGTAGTGTTTGTGCTGTTTTTGTGCACACATGGTTAGCAGTTGTTGACTTCTTTACATCGAAAATGCTCTGATCTCTGTAAAGCACCTTCGAACATCGGTGCCCGTTCCAACTGACGCGGTCGCGTTCCGTCATAGGCGAGCTACATACCCGATCGTGTGGCGATGTACTTTCCGGTGTGTTTTTTCAGCGCAAGCCGAATGTTGTATGTATGCTGTGTACTGCGCCCTTTCAAGCGGCTTTGCCGTTCGTTTTCGGGCCACCAGGAGTGCGCCTATACTCAAGCCGTGTGGTATCTCTTACTGCCGTCAGGGGCAACAGCAACTCCGAAATGGGTGCATCGTGACTACCGTACTGAGTGTTGAATAAATAATGTAACGATTTTGGGCATGCTATCTTACGTTCCGACGAAAGTCCTCGATATCGTCCAATTTTTTTTTCGCAACTCGTGTGTCTTTACCGCTTCCCGCCTCACGAGGCCCGTTCGACACGCACGAAAGACATACGTTTCGCCTTTTGTCACGGGCGGTATTTCAAGTCGATGGAGCGGTGTAGACCGGCTGGTATATACCACTGTTCTGCAGAAAACGCCCACACCTGTTGACGACGACGACACGTTTGGTACCTTTAGGTGGAGAAAGGACTATAGCCTCAAAAGGTACGAATCGCTGTCGTGTCAATATATTACCACCATTCCACCAATGACTATTGAGGTCTTTTTACATCCGTCCCCCCCCCCCCCGTCTGATTCTTGTGTGTACAGGAGCAAACTTTGCGTGATATCGTCACGGCACCACGAGGAAGGACGCGCTCTATCGTCGTCGCCCCCGAGGTGACCAACCAAAAATACCTTCGTGAATACATCAATTTTATGCATACTCCTTCAGAAGGCATCATCGCCCACCCCCCCAAAAAAGCAATAAGCAAAAGGCAGTATTTGGAAGTACTTGGGTAGACAGCGGGCACGATACGTCTGACCTTCCAGCAGATTGTCTCTTTTTTTGTCAGGTGGCTTTGGCGGGGTCGCTTGTCGCGCGCACGGCGCACAACGTGGCAATTAAGTACATATAAGTATTAATTCATCGTATTTAGCGAAAACGGCGCCGAGGGTTTAACCACCACCTCCGGGCTTGTTGTTCAGCGTTGGTTGTTGGACCTATGCATACGACAGTCTCTGCAAATACAAGTGTTAAAAAAACACTCTCGCCGCGGTCGAGTTCCCCTTCAACCGTCCTCTACTGCGGTACCCCCGTCCTTGCTCAGGCGGCGCGCACAAACGGAGCCGGGGTCTTGCAGCTATCCCGGGTGTTCGACTCCTTGGCGCATCCCCCCTCAGGGGACACCAGCGGCTACGTAGCCCAGCCGGCGGTGCACCTGGTGACGTTTTCGTACAACAGGGGCGGCAGAGGCGACGGCGGGGGGCGGGGGGGGTTCAGCCCGGCTCAGCCCGTGGGGTCGGCGTTGCGGCAGCTCTTCTGGCTTTGCTCTCAGGTGTGCCACGTTTGCTAGAAAAATAAATAGATAGTTGGAGTAATAAACGTGTTGCCGGACGCGATGCGATGAGTTGTGGAGCTGCAATGAGCCTCGGCGGTATACGTCGGGATAAACGCTGAGTTTTGCGGGTCCTTGCCTGGCGTTGGCGTTTTTTTCGTGGCGATGCCCACCTTTGGTAGGGCTCCTTTATGTTGCGGCTGCCGCGTTGTGCCTGCTGTGGGCGCCTGCGGTCATGAACACCCTCCCCACTTTTGTCCATGGTGCTGCTCTTACTGTGCACGGGAAGTAGAATTGTCGTGCGGGAACATTTCGTGGAGGGTGCACCAATCGCCGTTCCTTACCACGGGGCTTCGTTGCCCGCTGGATTTTTTTGGCGCTTATAAGAAAACACATGGCCCTCTTTCCTGCCGAAGTCCTACCCTGGGAAGTCCTACCACAGAATGTTGTGTTTGATGCGCTGTGATACATGTAGACGAATTAAGGCCCTTTGTCATGCGCTCCCACCCACTGCCCTCTCACTCCGGCCAACAAAGTTGTCGCGAACCACGATGGAAGTTTCTTGGGTGGCGGCTGCAGACGTGCCCAGGTTTCCAATGAGGTGAGAGGCGTTGTGGACCACTTAAGGCGGCCTGCGACACAACGTGAACGACTGTGAAAACGGTATGACAGGTACACCATGGGCGGCATCAATAAATTGTGTTAACGAGGTGATGCTGAACGGAACCCTCACGGATGCCTCTGCCCGCCGTTCAGGCACACCCCGCTAAGCGTTTGGTTTGTCCTTGTGGTGACGAACGCCCTATTTAACGACTTTGCTTGCTTTCCTAGGTTCATGATGGGAACCATCCCGTCCCCCTATTTCGAATATGCCCGCACACCCCCCTCCCCCCCCCCCCCCCGTCCGCTCTCTCTCGTTATTTCTGGTCTCTTGGCGTGGCTACGGTTTGATGTGGAATCAGGGCGATCAGTCGCATTTCCTCAGATCCTTCTCGGAAGTTTCCTGGCCCGTCTCAGCTGCAGACGCCAGCGGCTTGGACAGAGGAGGTGAGACAAGAGCCAAATGTTTTGGTCTGTGTTAGAGCCAAACGTTTTACACAGTCTGAGTTGGCCTGGTACAGACTGGAAGGGGCCGTCTGGGGGCGGTTTGGCAATCGCATAAAAAGCTCACCATATTTTTGGGGTGCTGTTGCGGTTGTACCGTTGGCACACCTCCGCATGCACCCCGCCTACATAGCCCAAGCTTGTCCCACTCCCACCCCCTGTGATCGTGTTCTCTCCAACCCGCCTACGTACGCTGCTTACACGGCGTGTCTCGCGCGTCTCGTTACTCCTTGAACCACTCGGTGCGGTGCGGCTGATTGTGTTGGTCGCACCGCATGCTCTTGTTGCTGCCTATTGCTCCCCCGTCTCCCCACACACTCTCGAATCCCCAACCCTCTTCGTGGTGCCCACGAATCAACACCCTGCTTGTCTCGCCCCGTTCCGTTGCGAAGATTCGGTCGCTGATGGCGGCGATGATCGGACGGCCCAAGCTTGCGCTCGGCAGCAAGGACTTCGCCACCTTCGTAGCATACTACGACCTGGTCAGCAAGGGAGACAAGGCTGGGGCGGCCGCGCTCGCAGACTCTCGCAGCAAGAACTGATGTGCTGTTTCGGGTTGATCGCGGCATCTTGTTCCGTTTGGTGTTTTGCTTGGTTGGGCCTCGTTTCATGGCAAGTCGATGTCGTTACCGTTGTTGGTGTGTTGTCCTAATGGGGACACGGTGTTTTGGGGCTCGAGGCTAGTTGTTGGAGATGCCGTGGTTGTGCGGCAAAAGGAAGCAAGGCCAAGGCCACGTGAATGGGAGGAGGGGTGGGGGGGGAGGAGGGGAGGCAATGAGCTTGCATAAGATCACTGACTTGATAGATGGGCGAAGATAAAATGGTTGCGGGGCAGCAGTACTGCGGCGTTTTTGAGACTCTGTTTCACCTTGTTGCCTTGGTGACGAGCAGCAGTGTCGCCACGGAGGGGGCTGATGGGTGTTTTGTCTCTCGTAGTGTGTTGGGCTCTTGCTTGGAGCATGCTACGTCGCTGCAGGCTGTTTTCGGCTTGGCGGCAACGGAGAGTCGAGTGTCAATCGGAACACATGCAGTAGTAGTAATAGCGGTATTGCAGGTATCGTGTGTACTGATTGTTACTTTATAGAAATGACCCGGTGACCCCGTGTGTCGAAACGTTTGAAGAGCTTGCTGTGTGGCGCCGGTGTTGTCTCTGTTTTTGTGCTGGCGCGAGGCAAAACCCTGCAAAGAGTATGAGAGGAAAACACGTAGAGGGATTGGAGAATCGGGGGGTTGTTTCGGGGGGATTGGAAGCTTTCGCTCTGACCCCAGCATGCACAACCTACCCAGAAAAGTGTAGAACTACGATGTAGCGAAAATAGCGGCACTTCGGCACGGCTGCCTTTGCCTGTCTAATGTTTGTCCCCAGAAAGAAAGGCGTTGGGTGTTCCTTGCTATTGCCTAGAGTATTAGTATCAGGATAGAACCTGCAGGAGGTATCCTACGTGCATTTAACAATATTTTTTGGGCCAAGACATGCTGGAATGAGTCCCATAACAGGCCGGGTTGTCCAGAGGTTGGCGATGCGGTTATTTTGTTGTTTTATGCTGGCCTTCAACCGCCGCAGGCGATCAACCGCAAAAGTGCTTGCGGGCAGGCCTTCCTCGACGCAGATTGAGCTATGCACAGTTGTCAGATCGGGAGGGCGATACTATTTGGCCATTGGAAATCGACCATGAATCCTCTTCCCCACCAAGTACTGCTGATAAGCATCGTTTTCTCTACTGCTGTACAATACTCTTGGGGTGAGACAATTACCCATGGCCCGAAACTTTGGTAATTCTCTCACATCCACAGGTCTTGTAATGAGTTCTTGCTCTCGCGTTCCCTTGCACTTCTATTTTGACAGGCCACAATGCGCAGAGCAGCGATCCTTTTCTCGCTGCGCTGCGGTATCTATCTGTGAAATGGCACCCTTGCTCTTTGGGGCTTCACCTGCACAACGCAAACTACTGCTGCATGCTGGTAGTATGCATATGCTCTCAGTTAATAATGTATCCGTTGCCTTCCATCAGAAGCTGAGCGAGGCGGAGAGTATCATAGGCATCATGCACTCCAAACTACTCGGGGCACGCGGGTAAAATCCTCTTTTTGTAGCATAAAACATGTCATTGGGAATGTGAGGTGGATTTGTTTTACGCACCGACAACTTAGATTTGTGGCTCAGCGACCATGGGTAGGGCAACCCGGGAACGAGTTATATTAATTCGCGCGAAGCGGGATTTGTTGGACTGCTGGTGGGCAACCTGGATTTGGGTTGTATTCGAGGCATACGGTCCGGTTGACATTTCGCAGCTACGGGACCCCTCAACAAGATGCCAAATATGCAAAACCCAAACCTGCTGTGTCGCGTCTGGCGTGTCTCGCTGGCTGGCTGGCCCACCACCCACACGGACACGCGTGCCTGGTAAAGAGACGTAGCTCTGCAGGTTTTTTCTGTCCGATTACCATCCAGATCACCAAGGAGATCTGCAAGAGTGCGTAAGAGTCACTCCCTACCATCTTTCTCTACGGCGTCGAGGACACACAGCGGCGAGACTCGATTCAAAATCATCGTTGTCAAGCATGCACCTGTACCCGAAGCGTGCTCTGCTCGAAGGGGCGGAGGTTGAGATTTTCAAGCTCCTCTCTTTCTGTGCTACTCCCGAGCAATGGGCGGATTGGCTCCGGGCTCCACTCGAGCATGCCGCAGCCCGCGGCAATATCGGCCTTGTCGAGAGACTGCTCGAGGCCGGCGCCGACGGCAGAGCAGGGTGGAGAGGGTGCCGCGGCCGGACAATGCTCGACGCCGCTGCCCTAGGTGGAAACGCGGATGTGGTGACGAAGCTGCTTGAATCAGGATGTGCGCCGGATGTCAATGTGGTATCGGTGTCGTCGAAGAGATCGGCACTGCACCTGGCCGTTGTATGCGGTCACGAAGCGGCAGCGAGGACGCTCATGATTGCTGGAGCCAACATCCGCCGGGTCGACCCGGGGGATCAGTGTGTGCCCTTCCATGTCGCCGCTGAAGGGGGACACGGCGACCTGGTAGGTAATCTCTTGATCGGTGGAGCTTGTCCGAATTCTCGCACCAGATTCGGCCGTACTCCGCTGCATGTTGCTGCTGCAGTTGGCAACAGTCGTGTCGTGTCAACCCTGCTCGGCGACACCAGCACCTCTATCAACGCTCGAGACAACGATTTGCATTCCCCACTGATGCTGGCGTCTGCAAATGGCCACCGTTCTACAGTCGAGGCTCTCCTGCGGGCTGGTGCCGACACCACCCTACGTTGCTACTCTGGGGGCGTTTCAGACATGGCGGCGCTCGAGATGGCGGCAGTAAAATGACACGTTGAGGTGGTCAAAGCTTTTGTTCAGAACGGGGGAGACGCGAGCGCTGTCGGCTCACACGGTCAAACGGCCTTGCTCTTTGCCGCTCAACACAAGCAGGGGGGTGAGGTGGTAGACGTTCTTCTCGATGCTGGGGCCGATGTCAATGCTAAAACGGCGGGTGGATCGATACCTCTCCACGCGTCCGCCGTACACGGACATGACGAAACCATGGTTGCCCTTTTGAAGCGGGAAGGCAACTTCGATGAGCAGGACAACGCTGGTCGGTCGGCCTTGCATTGGGCGTGCATTGGTTGTTTGTCAGGTACAGGCAGAACTGCTGTTGACCTCCTGTTGAGATGGGGGGCGTCGGAAACTGCCCTCGACACCCGCGGTGAAACACCCTCCGACTACCTTAGGAGGGGTGCTGCAGCAGTTGCAAGCAGCAATGTGACGCCCCGGAACTCGGAAAAGATGCAACGGGAGATGCAACGCGCACTAGTGCTGCTGGCGCGTGCTCCGGCGGACAGGGCGTGGAGGCGCCGCTGCTGGCTGGTGATGCTTCGCGCGAGGGCGGGGAGGGAGAGGGAAGCGCTGGTGGGTCACGACGAGGACGACGGCAGCTACAAAGTGGGGGAAACGGGTGCCGGCGGCAGCGGGGGTGGGCCTATGGATGGCGAAAGGGGCGGTGCCGGCAGGGTGAGAAGGCGAATGGCGGATGGGGAAGGGGGCTTGAGGGTCTTGGTCCCGGCTCTGCTGGGTATGAACTCGGGCGGAGTGTTCCGCACGGTCGTCTGCTTTCTGTGACAGCGGCACGGTGAGTTGCAGTTTGTATGTGGTGTGTGAGTTGCGGTTTGTACACCCAAGGTGCATCTAGCTTGTGGTTTAACTGTCGATCTCGTTGATACTATCGGGTTTTGACCGAAATGTGACATGTTGAAATCAGTCATGAGTTTGGACCACGAAGCGGAGAATCAAGGACAACTCAGACGTAACTGCTCTTCTTGTAGTAGAAATCAAGGACAAATCAGATGTAACGGCTCTCCTTTGTAGGAAACATCTTTCGTGTACAAATGCCAAGCCTGGCGGGCTCGGTGTGTTGTTGCGTGCGCATACGCAGCATTGGCCCGCGCTTCCATAGTGCATCTGCTGGTGCGAGCTGTTGTGACGTTTGGCTTGCATGCGTTTTTGCTCTCAAGGGTTTGGCCGTATGATAAGATGTTAATCGAGTGTATCTCGTGCTACAATATGGACCCAGTATCTCTTGAATGGTCAAAAAACGATTGCTATCGTGCGAAATCTCTTCCCTAAGTTTCTATCGAAGCGTTGTTTTTTTATCAGCCGCCGCTACTGCACCAGCCCCAAGAAACTTGCTACCTAGATCGCGAGCTCAGCGTCAAACGGGTAAACCAACATTGTTACGAGCCTTGTATCGTCCCAACGAAAGGACCAGATGGGCGCTTGACACCCTCTGAGGCTTATCCTATCGTAAATATACGGCTGTTGACTTGGTCGTCGTCGCATCGACCCGTGTTCACTCGACTTAGGCGCTGCCGGCTCGCGTGCGCGTGCGACACCGACGGACTACGGGCGGCCCTGCAGCACCGCGTGTCAGTGATTGGGTGTTGGGATTGGGCCAAATAGTGTGAGGCACCCCGAACGCGTCGGGTATAGCCAGAACTTGCGTTGTGCATGCCTTAGCGGTTAGATAGTTTCGTAGAAAGCAGTTAAGAAGTTCGTCAACGTCGCATGGCCGTGCCCCAACAGAGCTGCTAGTGACGGGGGCATGACGCCGGTGTTCGGCGAGATGTCAATCGCAACAGGCAGATGGGGTCCGTTCCTTGAGCTTTTGCAAGCGCGCGCGATGCCCGATGATGTTGGTTGGTGAGGTCCTAGGGCCGTTGTGACGACATGGGTCGCACGGAGGTGGCGAAAGTCTGTGTTCGTACACGCAGTATGTACTGTGGTTCAGTGGGTGTGTAGCTTCTAACGGCGAGAGTGTAAGCGTGGATGTAGCCTCCTTTGTTCATCGCGTCCACGAAACACAAGTTTTCAACTGCCCGGCTTTCACCGGCAACAGCATGGGAGCACACCTCTCAGACAGAGCCCGCCCCTGCTCGAATTCTTTGGACTCGAAAAACAATACTTGGGTTCTACGAGTGTGGCTTCGTTAGATTGGGTTAGATATATCACGCAAAGGGGTGCCCCAGAGATAGACGCCTTGGCAGTAGAAAAAGGCTTCTACGATAACAAGACGTCCCCCGCTTGCCTCTCCTTGCCCCGGTACAAATTGCATAGCCGAGACACGAAGTGAACAAAGTCTTGTGGTACCGCCTCCATTTTTTCCCCACCGTTTGTAGTCTATGCCGAAGTTCGGCCCCGCTCCTCGCTTCACTGCTTCAGTGGGCGTGGCCCCGTCGTTTTGTCAAGCAAACATCCCGCCAGTCGAACATACCAACGGTGTGCGCGGAAAAAATATCAACTCACGTACTCTAAGCCCACAAATCGAAAATATATTCCCATGGGGGGGAAGTCACATAGCCGTGCATGCCATAGTCGTTAGGCCACTGTCTGACCTCGCCTCTCTACAAAGCCGGGACGGAGCACTCCGGGTTCTCACCGGACGAGGCTCTTGCATCACCAAGCGCGAAGCGCCCGTGAGGTACTTGGCGAGTCGCATCTAGAGGGCGATGCATCCTGCTAAGGGTGTTCGGCATCTTGTGCTCACTTCCTTGCGTGCAACACGGATGACCGCTGCGCGTGACTTGGTTTATTTTCAGGTACTTCCACTTGAAAGAGACAGTCATAGCCACTGTGTAACTGCCTCGAGAGTGCTTGACCAATTTGACATCACGTGGTGCGATCATCTCCTTTTTGCGAGGTGAGGGTTCTCGACCCCGCGCAACATAATCTACTCTCGGCCGTGGGGGGGGTGTTGGAGGGGGCAGCGGGGACATTGATAAGATATCCCCGGGTATGAGGAGGAGGCATTCTGGCTGAGGCGGCGACATGTACCCGAAATCCTCGGGTAAAGTCTGCGGGTGCACCCTTGTGTACACCCTCGCTCTTCATCGTGCCTAAACGTTCCTTCCTGATTGGCACAGCCAAGACCTACAAGGCATAGCACGGACGGTACAAGGGGGTGTGACCCACACGGTCAGGTGCTTTTCGCTCGTCACATCATACGATATGGTAGATATGGTACGGGTCTGTCTCTTTGATCCAATCCTGCCATCCCGCCACGGCTTTCCATGCCTTTCGGCCGGTGGCCTCAGTACACTTAGCGCGCCGAAGAGGTATCATTAATATTACGATTTGTTCTCTCCCATCGAAACCATGGGGCACATCTAGAATAGATCAAAGTGGACATAACATATAAAAAAACAGTTCCTCATCTTCCATGCCCTTCTTACAGACAAACTGACGAATACCCGTCACAACAAGTAAGCTAACCTTACTTGAGGTACACATGACCATAAACAAGTCTTCGTCTTTCGTGTGTAGCTCAATATTGTCGAAGCAGAGAAATTTGCTGGGCTACAACAAAATGCATTGCAACCGAATTTGAACGTAATAGCTTTTTGCTCACAACCGCACTGGGTCAATCAACGTTGTTGTCTAGGGTACTGCCGGAAAACTTCGCTATGCAAGTAGTCTCGAACTCGGGAGCAACAAACGCGCACCTCAAAATATGGCCCTCGGGCCGCTCCCAAACGCAGAGATATCCATAAACAACCAATGCATGTGATGCGTCCGTGCTGCCTGCCCGGCTGAAACTGGCGCAAACGGGACGGGAACACGCCCAAACCTTCGTTGCCTGCATTTATTCCCAATCTCTGAGGAAGCCAACACTTTTTCTTGGCGCTGTGGTTGTACCGTAGTCTTCACATGCTATTTTACTTGCTACCACGGTAGTAGCCGACCGAAAACCCAGCTCCGAGGCAAGAGTAACCGCGCACGCTATTGTACACTCCCCGCCGCAATGTGCATGCGTCGCAAGGAGCAATGGTAGTTTTGTTTGAATCCTAAACTGAACACGCCGGAAACATGGGTACATTTCTGCCGACCATCAACAGCCAACGACGTACAGAAACGAAACAAGGCCCCCCGAAAACGTCTAACGCTAGGGATACCGGGTAGCCTGACTGCTTCTTTTCACGTATGAACAACGCCCAAACAAACCATGTTCATCCCCGGACAACACAGATACTCATCGTGAGGTCAGCACAACACATCGTTCAGAGAGCACAGCATCACATTGGCTGGTCACTCGCGCTCTCGCTCTTCGGTGAGAGGAGGGGCAACTACGGTGGGCGTTCGCAATACCTATCTATCAGCAGTTGAGGGAATCATAAACACTGGTAAAGACTAGCGCATGGTTCTGAAACGCGTCTCTAAACCGGAATGAATGTCGGTGTCGCACAAGACAATCCACTCCAAGCACAAGAAAAATGGCAGGGGAGGGTGACCGACGACGGCAAAGGGGGTGATACTTCCTCGAAAGGTTAGAAGTGAGGGCGGGTGGGAAGGGGGGGGAACCCTGTGCGTAAATATGCCCCAAACGCGCGCACTCTTGAACAAGAAAAGTAGCCGGCATGAAAAAAAAAACACGGACGACGTGCCTATTGTAGGTGCCTGCTTCCGTATCCTACGCAACCTGGCCTCACAAGCAAAGCCCAACAAAGGTGTCGCCCGCAGAAACATACCTAAGGCATAACAATGTGCGACCCAAAATCTCGCCTCATGGGACGGATGACTCTGCTCTGGCCCCTAGAAAACAAACAAGACCATCAGCATACAAGGCACCCAAGACGCTCGAGGCAATACTACCATGCAGATGTTGGCACAATACCTTGATCTATTTTTCATTCTAAACCGTTTGGGCGGTGACGCAGCCTCCTGTCTTACCTCCACGGCGACACCCGACCCTAACTCCGTCAGAAGTGCCGCGATGGCAAACTGCAACTGACTGGCCGCATGTTTCCAATGACTGTAAGTAACTGTTGAGCTCGCTCCCGTTCTCAACCGCAAGGTTACACAAAGTAGAATCATAAAAATGTGTTGCTATGCATACGCATCATACATTCCTGAACACGCAGCAGACCAAAGGAAATAAGCACGTACGGGCGACTGGTTTCCTCTCGCTTGCTTCCCCACGCGATTCAGTCTACGTTGCCCCGGAAACCCGGCACTCGCCCTTGTGCCCGGCCTGGTCTGTCATCCGGCAGGTAAGAACGGAACACTACACCCCGCACAAGCTCAGCGTGCGAAACCGACAAACACCACTCTCCCCGACATCGTGCCCCACACCATATACAAATCCCCACCCGTGACCCGCCGTCTCCCGACAAGTCTGTACACCCCAGGTTTCAATACACTCTTACGCACACCGCAGGCGATAACTAAACTAGGACGGGCACTTCCTTCTGGATGCGAACCATGCGTCTGCCGGAGCACAACCGACAGACGTCGTAGGTTTTTCATCCAATCCTGATTCCGTAGTATTACTCGGGATTCTGGCTCCTTTTGTGGAAACCAAACTGCCGTGCTTGGAATACGGTCTCGTGTCAACACCTCCAAACAAATCGCATCGCAGCGCAGCTCCATGCACATATCATGCCTGAAAGCTAAATTAGAAAATACAACGGACTAATGTACCTGTAGCTCTTGGGTCTGAATGAAAATCCAGACCTCCAACCCATCCATGACGCCGTCGCTCGGGGAAATCAATCTGCCCCCCCCCTTTTTCCCCGAAGAGGCAACAAGACCATGAGACCGTCTCTCTCTCCAGCTACTAAATTACACGACGAACAGACAGACTGGCTTGGCCTGACCCTGTCTTTTCGGTCCAGGCGGACAGACATCTGTAGGTAACAATACATAACGATACACGCTGACCCGCACTCCGTTTTCTTGCTCTCGCGCGACCAGGAAAGGTCGGGACGGCGGACGCCTGGCAGGGCGGGTGGTGGTTTTCAAGGGTCGGGTTCAGTCGCTGGGGCGGTCGGGCCACTCCAGCAGGGGCGAGCGGTAGCAGAGACGGCAGTGCCTCACCGACTCGGTGAACCCCCACTTCATTGTTGGTTTATGGTCGTCGGAGGGCGGGAAGGAGTACAGCAGCAGAGGCGTGGCGGCGAGGAAACGATGGTCACGTTGTCGGAAAGGACTCGGTAAAAGTAAGCATTGGCACGTGTCACAAACAAGTAGGAACAGCGTTTTGCAGGCCCACAACAAGAATAATGGCTGGAGTGCGACGGAAGGGCGTTGCACAGCACACCTCCTGTCGCATGGCACTACACAACGTTTGCGTGTTATGAACCACGTCATCCAAACAATCGATACAGCATCACTTCATACACTTGAGGCGATGGCTCCTTGTGGAAAAAGACATCTGTGAAACACGTGCGATAAATTCTCACGCGGCGAGCCTCCTGTGGACACACGGCCCGGACAACGCAACACATACAACCTCGCTTGGGAATACCCCCCCCCCCCCCCCGGGGTACTCCCAAAACGGGACCCCCATACATGCATCAAAATGGGGGTTTTGAAAAACGTAATCCTACCCCCCCTAGAATACCCCGGAAAAATATGGGAAAGAAAAAAAAAAGGAGTGAAATAACTCGAGGCGGCGCAAAAGAAAACAGCGAAAATCATCCTAGGATGCTCCAAGCGCACAAATAATGCAGCCGTCAGGGCAGAATTGGGGATCCAATCCCTACGGTCGGGAAGAGACGCAAGGAAGCTGAAATGGCAGTATCGCATGTGCGGGATGGGAGAGGAGAGGTTGCCGAAAATAGTATGGGAGGCGAAGTGGGCAAACAAAAAGAGGGGTAGACAACCCACGGAATGGGTCAAGGTTGTAGAGGACGTATGGAAGGGGTTAGACATCGACGAAGATGAAACGCTGGAAACGGAGGGTCTACAGGGGTTCAAGGAGAAGATACCTGTTGCTTGTGCCGAGAGAGAAGAACGGAATCTAAGGAAACAAACCGAGGATAAGGAGGGTCTAGAAGTGTACGGAATGTTGAAAGAAGGAATAGGGTTCAAGGATTACCTACTACATGGACCAATGGATGCAGGGACAAGGCTTAAGGTCAAATTCAGGACCGGGGGCACAGACCTTCGCGAACGTCGACGAAGACATAGGAAGGTACACGACGAAGACGACAAGTTCAAATGTGATTGCGGCTTCGAATGCGAAGACCGTGTTCATGTAGTCGCGGAATGTCGGCTGTACAATACGGAGAGGGAAGTGTACATGACTGAGCTGGGAAAAATACAAGGGACGTACAGGGAGATGTTTGAGGCATGGAATAGAGAGGAGAGGACGGTAGCTGTACTGGGGAGTAGGAAGTGGTTTGAAAAGGCGGGAAGGGATATCGTTAGGATAGACAGTCTAGGGAAGACATTTTTGAGCCACCTTTGGCAAAGTAGGAAGGAACGATTGGCCATCGGTGATCGGTCCTGTGGGAACAATGCTCCGTTTTCTCGAGGACGCGTGGTCAATGGTCTAACCGTTAAGACATGCAAAACATAAGAGTACGCCCCCCCCCGGTGTTTGCCATCGGGGTTGGGTTATCGTCGCTTGGCAACGACGTTGTAAAACAAGCCGCCCCCCCCGGTGTTTGCGCCATCGTGGTTGGGTTTTCGTTGCTTTGCAGCGATGTTGTAATACAAGCCGATCACTTCGTGAGCTCGGCACCCAGGTTACCGTTTTTTTTTTTTGCCTTTGGGTTCTTTTATTTTTGCGGTAACCATGAATGGTGGTCGAGTAGATTATGTTGTGCGGGGTGGAGAACCCTCACTCCGCGAAATGGGGATGATCGCACCACGTTGTGTTATATTGGTCAAGCACCCTCAAGGCAGTTAGTTACACAGTGCTTACAACTGTCACTGGAAGTGAAAGCACCAGAAAATAAATCAAGTCATTCGAAGCTGTCATCCGTACGCAAGGAAGTAAGCCCAAGATGCCGAACACCCTTAGCAGGATGCAGCGCACCCTTCATGCGACTCGCCGAATACCTCATGGCGCTTCGCGCTTGGTGATATGAGAGCCTGGTCCGGTGAGAACCCGGCGTGCTCCGTCCCCGTTTTGTAGGGATGCGAGGTGAACGGTCGAACGACTACGGCATACACGACTAGGAGTACACCCCCCTCCCCTGGGAATGGATGATACCGCCTCCCTGAAACCCTCCTCATCAACCGGGTTCAACAAGCGAAAACAATATCTTTGATCAAGTGCATGAAGGGAAATAGGCTTATTATACGCCAAACACCGCGGCTCCCTCACGCAGAACGGCTTCCCGTGAAAGACGGGAAATTCTCGGGCTACTCAAGTTGGTACATACATACCACCGCTGTTTGTGTTTATTTGCTGTCGACTCAAAAGCCGCACCCGCTAGATTTTCACGCGGTGCCTCAATCGATTGCTTTGCCTTAGTCGTTCGACCGTTGCCCGGGACAATGAACCCCTTTTGAGACAGGACGAGAAATCATCCTGTTGCTTAAAAGAGACACCACGATCTACGCACAAAGGTGCTCGGCTAGGTATTTAGAATTTTCCGGCACAACATACCCATCCTGCTGAGTACCACTACACGCAGCGTTCCGCGGGGCCTTACCTCTAATATGGGACGGGAGTTTTCCGTGGGAGCGCAGAACTTGCAGGAGAGGCGCCCACAGCGGCGGCAGTGGTGGCGCCGCAGAATCACCGTAAACCTAGGGCGATTTTTGACACCAGAGGCAACCGGCGGAAAAGCAGTCACAAAACACTATGATACTAATACCCTGCAAAATAATAAAGACAGGAAATATGGCCGCACGTCCTTTTTTCCGGGTGGGGGGGGGGGGAAAGGAAGACCGCTGGGATGGACGGACATGGGAAAGTGTGCAACACAGAACACGGACTTCAGTTCGCCGACAAATATAAACCATATCGCCATCACCCCATGACAACGAGGAGTGCCGTAAAAAGAACAGCGGTGGGTGGGGTTGGGGGTAACTGGAAAAAACCAATTCGGGGTGAACGATCTGCTACCTCCCCTCCGCCCCCCTTTTCCTTCCCCGTTCCTTATCAACCACAGAAAAAAAGGTCTCCTGGCGACACACCATTCGCTCCAAGCACCAATCTCGGCCCTCTCGAGGTCTAACGCCCGAAATCACTCCTCATTCTCACAACATCCGCCACGCCTCCACTAATCATCGGATAGCTACTGCTGTTGTAGCTTGGTGCTCCTGGCCCTCGCTCTTCCGTGCCAACAAACTTCAAAGCATTGCCGACGTCAGACGCGCTGCTACTTGTGCTGGTGCTGCTGCTGCTGCCGCAGCTTCTGTCGAACTGCCTCAAAAAAAGGGGCTCACACTCTGTCGCACAGCATGCACGCCTCCTGCTCTTCGTCGGCGACCCATCTGGGGGGCCCCGTGCCTCGGCCCCCTTCCCCTCCCCCTGCCTCGCCCCCGGCCCCGGCCCCCGTCCTCCGAAACAAGGCTTGTTGGCAGAAGTGCCGTCGAAAGGCTTGGCCGACCCCGTCGCACCCGCCGGTAACGCTCTTGAAGAGGAGCTTCAGCGGGTCGTGGGCAGCGGCGGCGGCGGCGGCGGCGGCGGCGGCGGAGGCTTCGCTACTTCCTTTCTCGTTGTCGCTGCCACCGTCGTCCGAGGCCTCTCCTTCCCCGCTCGCCTCCAGCACAGCCTGTTTTCCAACGAGATATTAATTGGGGGGAGTGATGAGAAGTTGGATAGGGGAGGAGGAGGAGCACGAAGGATTAGGACCAGCAGCGGCGGCGGCTGCTGCGTCTGCAGCGATGGATGCGAAAGCTGCGTCGGCTGCGCTACCATTCGGAGGCTGTCCCGCGGCAGCAGCGCC